GAGTTATATTCAACTTTAACTTTGTGGTCTGTTCCAAGAAAGCAACTCTGTCAGGAAGGTGTATAAAAATATAACCTTAGAAGTCACTGACTTCTAAGAGCTCAAGCTCATTCTCAAAGTGAAGAAGGACTACTACTAAATACGTATAGACTTCACAATGTTTTTAAATATCTTCAGGAATGCAGGGAAGGTTGCAGGAGAGAGAAGGGAAATATTCCCCCAGGAAGGAGAAAGGTGGGTATTCGACATGAGTAGTTGGAACTGCTCTTAGGAAGCACCATTGACTGACCCTGAATCTAAGCTTTTACATTTACAATTTACAAATTAGATTATATTAATACATCCCTGTAAATTAAAACTGAAAAAAAAATCTATTCTCTGATTTGAAATAGACAACACTATTAATACAAATAATATATAACAAATTCTTGGGACAACTGACAGACATGCACTTACATTGACAGCAGCCAAAGCACCAGCCAGTTCCTGAAGATCCATGATTGGTTAGTAAAGCAAGTGGATCACCCCAAACCCACCCAGGTCAGCCCAGGGCTACAGATATTGTTAGCATTGGGCATGAGTTGAAAAAGCACTGCTGGTGTCCCAAGCATTTCTAGAAGAAACAGCATCTGGGCAAGCAGCCAGCCATCAGGCTTCTCTCAAACAGTTTGGGAGGGTTATAACAGCACACAGTGAAGACTGAAATGTTGTAGAGCAAACCATGCCTAGTTCATCAAATAAGAAGAAACAAGTCCACTCTATTCATAAGGTGACTATGGCTTGGTTCCTCCAGACATGTAATGCTGACAGCTTATTAAGAAAACATACTACCACTGATGTCTTGAAAAGCTCAGTTTCTATATAACTACTTCTAACAACTTTGCATTTTAATGATAATACAGTGAAATTTTTGGACAGCTGATCTTTTAACTTTTAAAAAAGAAAGAGGATTATACTAATGAAGCAGAGCTAGGACATCATGTTTTCTTATTGAAACTGATGTTCCTTCATTTGCTGCCGTGGGTGCTGGATCATACTGGCTGTTCATCCAGAAGTTCCTCAACCTTCTAGGATCCTGTCAGTGAGTCTGACTCTGCACTGCAGCCCAGTTTAATCACGTGTTCCTTATCAATTTCAGACATGGTGTTGATATTGTGTTTCTCCTACACCTGCTTGTGTCTAAGCTCACGCATTCTAGCTCACAAACTACAAATGTTATGAGGAGACTGGGAGAAACATCATGTCTCTGAATTTCCACAACCAAATACTGCCATCCTGTCAACCTGAAGAAGATATTTTTGGCACATCTGCCTCAAGCACTGTAGAAGTATTTATCAAAAATCAGAAATCCACATGTATAAAGAGTTTGTCTACAATGGCAGGTTCATCTGCTGAGATGAAGAAAGGGAGTTCCTGCAGTTCAGGCAACAATCTGGAAGGATTAACAAAATTCTAATTTTTATGGCAGTTTTTAAAGCCTCCAACCATTTCTCCTTCACAACTCTTGGAGAGGACAGCCAGCTCCCTTATCCTCCAGCTGCATCCACAAGTAAGAATCTGGCCAAGGACCAAGAACATACTCAAAGTGCAATACCTTCCACAACAGCCTGCAGGCCACAAACAGCTGACCATGTTTGTTCTGCCCACTCAGTGGAGAACTAGTTTGAAGGCTATCAGGCTGACCAAGATGATAACAAGGTGTCCAGAATGTTTTTATCTGTAGTAGGAAAGCTTTCACAAAACTTTTTTTTAATATGGTAAAAGTCACATTCATAATTCAGAGAGCTGTTAAAAAAGTTATTGATTAGCTTCAACTTTCCAATGATTTGTAAAGACCCGTTTCAGCTCTGAAAACACATCTAGATTGCACACTTCAGAAGTTCTCTTCATCTGTCTCGGATTTGATTTTTAGGTCAATAAAACTAATTTTGTCATGGACTTCTGATAGAGAAAACCATGAGTACCCAAACTAACTGTGTATCTCCTCAGTCAGGGCAACAAATCTTCATAAGTTATAGTACAGTTCAAAAATCCCTTCACAGAATTTACATTTTCTTGTAAATGCCTTCCAACAACTTCTCATTTGCAATACCAGTTCCACCAGCCAGACTTTTCACTGGCAAAGACTGGAAAATAAGGCACAGTTGGTAGTGAAGTGCAAACCAAAGGGGATGTTCAGAGGAAATAACATCAGAAGTTGGCAAGGTAGCAGATGCATTCGCTGACTTAAACCAGATTCAATCAACAAAAGTTCGCAATGTAAAGATCAAAGTAGAACACTTCAGTTCCAGTATGATTTCATCCCTGATATCTGATGCAAAAGCTAGAAGACCACCGGAAGCATAGACAGATGTCAAACCACCTTCAATAGCAAACACTTCAAGAAAATACTAGGAATTAAAAGAAACGAGTTTATAACAAATAACTCTTAACACTTGTCAGTTGACAACTCAGCTGTCAGATAGCTCCACCATCCCTGTCTCCAGAGTAACCTGGGAAAGGAGGTGGAAATACTTGAGGTATGTCACACTGGATATGGTGTGTATATTGTAAGGCAACTCGAAAAAAAATCCATAATACTGCAGAATTCCTCCACATAAGTAAACTATGTGTGAGGCAAAAACTGGATGTAGAAAACAACTTGAGAATAACCTTGTCCGTGTCTTAATTCACATCCAAAATGCCAATAAACCTGAGAAAAGCATAGAGCCCAGTGGTCTCTAAGAATGTCTTGCTGGTGATACATTGCTCCAAAGATTCTTCAATATTCCTTTCAAACACAAGAAATAAAAAAGTAAATGGAGAGACAGTTAAGTGCAGTATTAACTTCAGTGGGTTACTTGCTCGTTATTGCTGTCCATGGAGCAGTGGCTTTTGGAGAACCACTGGTATAATTTCTTGGAGTTTGTGTTATTCTATAGACAATCTGTTTTATATTCTTGCCCCACAAGAAAGAAAGAAACTGAGATGGAGGGAATGGGTAGAGACAGAACACGGTACCCAAGGGATTGGAGTTCAATTTGTTGTTCTACAACAGATTTACTGCACAATCCCAGGGAAATCATTACTGCCAGATGCTTAAAGGTATTGAGGTAATGCTTCCTGCAGGAAGGCTTCAGTGACCTGGGCAAAAAAGGACATGTCTCTGCCCTGCAACATTTACCTTGTAGATACACATGGAGGAAGCAGCAATCCTTTGCCAAAGGTATTAGCAGAACCACAGAAGTTGTAGTGCCATGAAAGAATCAGCCTGACATCCAGATTGGAATGTGGCAGCTCCCAGAACAACTCTCCTGCTTCCTCTAATGAAACAAGAGTGCTGGGAAAAGGCAGACACATGGGTTGTGCACACAGGTTGAAAACTACAGTTCTTTTGGTATCTTTCTGCATTCCAGCCAATTATGAGTGCCATTGAATTGAGACCTGGCTTCATTTGTTTCAAACAGAGCAGCATTTCATAAACCCTTTGTCATTTTCACGTGCAGCATGAGGTCTTGGACCTTTAGAGTCTTACCCATACTCTGGCTTTAACACCTCTTCTATTTTATCATAACTCTCTTTTCTAAATATAAGGAGTTCACACTCGTTCACACGCGAGAAGGAAGAAGGAACAAGCTCCCCCACTGCCCTTACAGCCAACACCTGTGTTGATGAGGACAGCACAAGGCAAGCAGCAGCCATCAACAGGATCTTCCTCCACCTTTCAGCACAGATGAACAAGGGAGAAGAGTTTTGGCTCCTCCTCAGTTCTAAAAGTAAAGAGCAGTTAAATTTTGAGCAAGTAAATTTTGTCTTTTACACAAAACGATCTGTGCCGAGTACGGGGAGAGCACAGAACTTCTGCCTGCCCCCCTGAGGCAGGACTGCAGGCTCACACTCTGCTTTCTGAGTGGCTCTTCTTGCTCAGTCCTAGTGCTCCTCTTGCCCTCAGCCAGCTGCCCACATCAAACAACTGCAACATTAAAACCTGCTTCTCAAAACAGGAATGCACATGGCTGAGAGAAACCGCAGGGAAGGAAAGACTAAGGGGAAAAGCATTTGATTCCCTTCCATTCTCAGGCAGCCAACATACTATCTCCATACATGTCATCTTCTTGGCACAGCAAACTAACAACTTCCTATGACTAAATAAATAGAAATACAACTGACTCCTACTGGCCCTTTATGCAGAGGCAGAATGCATTACAATTAAGCAATCTCAAAATTATGAACTCTAAAGGCTATAGCAAGGAAATATTGGCTGGATAAGCTGTTCATTATAAAGAAATATAGCTCTTTTCTTGCTAGACAAATTGCTGTGCAGTAATTACTGCTCAAATGACAATATGACAGTTTAAGATGTCAGGGACAAACAGTGATAATCTGACTGCTGAACATGCACTCCAGAACAGGAAGCTGCAGCAAGTTTTAAAACACACAGCCTTGCAAAATATATCCCAGGGAGCTGTTTTGCATATAAAACTCAAACTCTTCTGCAACTTTCCATCAATCACTTGATTAGGCAATGAAACTCTCCGAGTGAAAGATCCATGAAAATAGACTCTGAATAAATTAAAATTTTCCAAGGCAAAACCGTATTTTACCTACGAAACTTGTTTCCAGGGCAGTCCAGCCCATTATTTGGGATTAACTCTTCCTAACATTTCCCCTTGCAGGTTGGAAGTGAGAAGTGGACGAGGATGCCGAGAACTTGCCATTTCGTCCTCTGTTTCAGAGCATCAGACACCACAAGCAACTTTACCACAAATCAACATAAATCCTGGTTTCAGCTGCTCTGTTCCAGAGTAGCTACCTCAGAGCATGTGCTTAAACTTCTAGTGCCACTGTCTGTAAAGCAGCGCCTGGTGCAGCGCAGCTATTCCCACACAAGAGAACATTAGTTAATTTGCATTCACAGTTACCATATGAGGTGTGAGTTTCTGACAGTCCACACATTTTATATTTAAAGACTGTAGGAAATTAATATAATTATCTTCGATATAATAACAAAAGTAACTTACCAGCCCATCGCAATTGCTGATAGCCACTGAAGCATTTGGCAAATCGGTGATATCCCCAACATAGAGGCAATTCCCATAGAGAGGTTCAATGTGAGTCTCCTCAGAGTCCTCCTGCCACTCAACTGTTGCTCCAGGGGCCACGAGCCTCGAGTTTGGCCGCAACCTGAAGTGAAACTCTCTTCCAAAAACAGTGACATTGTAAAATATTTGCTCATTTGCTACTTCACGTTGCAAGTCCTCCACTGCTCTCCTGAAACGTCCTTTTGGCGGTCCAGACACCAGGTGGGATAGGAACCTGCCCTCTGAATCGGTGCTGGTGGGGATGACAAGGCTGTACTCCTCTATATTCCTCAGAATTGAATCTTTACAGGGAGAAAGCAAGAGAGGACAGAGATACTAGAACTAAACACATCCTGATGCCGCGGGATTTTTATTCCATTATTCATTAGCACAGCAGACACTTACATAAGGCAGATGGACACTGCACTCTGTGCAGGCACTTCGTTCACCTGCATGAAGTGTGCAGAGTTCATTCAAACTTCCCTTTTGCTCCCCAAAACACCAGACGGCAGCGTGAGCCTCCCCACCCCGCCGGGACCCCGCACTCCTGCCCTTGCAGCGAGGTCCCGCTGCCCCTTGCCCACCCACCCGGGACCCCGCACCCCAGCCCACCCCATCCGGGACCGGGTCGCCTCGGGGACTTTGGGGCTACCCGGGCGGCCAGAGTTGAAGGCGAGGGCGCTGGTCCGCTTCGGGACTGCTCAGAGGGACAGGGCTAGGGGCTGGGTTTGCAGGTGGCAAGTCTGCAAAGGAAAAGGCACGTCCCTCAAACTACCCCCGGTGCGGCGGGGATGGGTCGAGCGGTGATGGGAACGCCACGGGCAACGATCGGGAGCGGTCTCTGCGGGAAGCCCGGGAGTTTTGGACGGAGGCGATGGCCGGGGCAGGAGGAGGAGGCAGACCAGCTGCCATGTGTTTCATCCCGCACGGGGAACTCCAGGCACCGCGCCCTGCCCGCCGGGGCTCGCCCGCTCCGCGGGGCAGGCAGCGGGCGGCGCGGGGCTGCGGGCGCAGCGCTGTCACCGCCGGGCGCTGCCCCGTCCCTTCTCCCCGTCCCCGCCTGCCCCTTGCAGGAAACAGCTGGAAACCCAGCAAAAAGTAGCCGCAGAAGAAGTTCAAGGGGAGCGGAAAGCCGCGGGGCGACGAGCCGCGACTTGGGACGGGCGGGCTGGCGAGCACCGGGGCAAAGGCGAGCAGCCCCGAGGGGCGTCCCGGCGGAGACCTACCTCTGTCCCCGGGGCGCCGCAGGGCGCCGGCGGGCAGGGCGAGCGCGCAGCAGAGCAGGACGCAGGCGATGCCCGCGGGAGGGTCCATCGCGGCGGCCCCGGCCCGAGGCGGGGGCCGGCGCTCGGGCTGCCCGCAGCCGGGGCGGGCCAGGCGGCAGCCCTGCTCCGCGCCGCTCAGCGCTGCCCCGCGCCCCGCCGCCCGCGCA